CACACACTCACACTTACTAACATACACACGTGGGAGAGAGTGGGAGAGAGAGAGAGTGGAAGAGCTAGCAAGCGAGTTCATTCTCTTGTCTGTTTTATTTTATTTGCTTTAACAAAATAATAATACAGACATGCAAACACGCACACAACGGACACACACACACTCTGCTCTGAATGCGTAAACAACAAAAGCAGCTGCAACAACAATAATAATAGCAATCGTAAGAGGGGAGGTGGGAAGGCGTTGGGGGAGGGGTGGTCGGTTCGCAGTTGAGGAAACCTAAAAACAGCAGCAAATGCAGAAACAACAATAATAACAACAAATAAACAGAGCAGGTTGAACTCTTTTTCTTGGGAAATGCCCCAATAAACAAACAGCAACATTTCCATTTAAATTGTTGATTTTTAAAAAATATTTGGGGGAAATTATAAAATTAATTAATGAAAAGATAAATCAGTAAATAAGCTATTTATGCAAGACAGGGTATATTTTATATATTTCTTTTGTTTTTGTCACTGGAAAGTTCTAGGCGCCACAATTGAGACAGACAGAAAATAAAAAGAGGGGGAGAGGCGGCAAAGAGATCGGAGCAGACAGAGCGGGATAGCAGGGCAGACAGGAAAGAGAATGAGCGCTTGCTTTGATCACCGTTTTGACCATTAAACACTTTATTGCCGTTGTTGTTGTTGTTGGCCTCAAACGTGGGGTAGGTTAATGCTAATGCCGTCGTCGTCGTCGGTGGCTGATCATTAAAAGCCCTCTCTAGACCTCTCTCTCTCTCTCTTAAGTCATCCCCTTTACATTTGCTCTTTCTTCTGGTTCTTTTAAGCACAGAAGTATTCTAAGCAGGTTGTTCTCTTTCGCTGAGAAGCTCTCTCTGCTAACTAATGCTGACATTTGCAAAAGATTTCGCACAAAAAAAAAAAAAAGAACAACAAACAAAAGTTGGGGGATATTGATATTGAATATGTTTATTTTGGGTTCGGTGCGTTTTACTAGATTTAGGGATGATGTAATAGACAACTCCAATCAAAACATAATAGATATTAAATAATTATATTATTATTATTATTAAAGAGCTTTATATTAAATCTTAACATCTTTAAAGACGTAATATTTTAAAAGTTTTACATTTCTTATTAAAATAATTTTAGTACATTTGAATTTAACATTTATGTGTTATTAAATGATCTTTAAAAGATCATTTTTATGATAATTAATATCTTTAAAATTTTTAAACAAAAATAGTATAATATTATTTATTTTTAAAATTAATTAATTTCTTTAAATTGGCTTAAATAAATTAAATAACAGTTAATATAAAATGAAACCTAAGCAAATATATTACATATCAAATGTCATATCAAAAAAAAACACCGTTAATGTGTCTCTTTGTGACTCACCCACTCTTTAAAGATCAACAACAACTCTCTCTCTCTTGCTCTCTTTGAGACTTGGAGCACATTTTTAGTTCTCTTAAAATCGTAGCTTTTTTTCTCTCCCGCTCTCTGCTCATTCGAAAATTTTTACTACGTCGCTAGAATAATTTTCGGTCAAAAATATTACGAGTTCCGAGTCGCGTTGTCGTAGCTTTCGCACACACAACAAAAAAAAAGGTTATTAATTCCTAAAAAAATACGGGACAAAATGCATTACAATAATAATAGTAATAGTTTACGATCCCCGGGGATTCACCGTAGAATTCCCTCAGAGCAAACGGCAGCGACAAACACATCAAACGTAAGTTTATTATTATTATTTTTTTTTTTGTGTTAAAGGGGGGGGGGGCACGGTAGCGTTTGTTTGGAAAGTTCGCGCACTTTGCCACCTGTCCACGTGTGTCTCTCTCTCTCTCTCTGTGTTATTGTTGTTTTGTTGTGTGTGCGTGCGTGTGTCTGCTAATTTGTTTTGATCGCTTCGTGTGTTTGCAATATAAAAAAAAAATGGGAAACAACAAAAACAAAGAAAACAATAACACGATTTCAGCGCTTGCTTGACCATTGAAAAAGTCAAAATTATTATTTATTTACCAAATATTACCATAATTTGGTCAATCTTCTCGTGCTTTCAGGCTTTTAAATTTATGTTTTGCATTTACTTTAACAATGTTTTTAAGAAAAAAATTAAACAAAACAACTTTTGCCAGGGGGTTTGACCGGCATTGGAATGTGCTGCTTAAAAAAAAAGAAGAAGTAAACAAATAAATTTAAAAATTTCTTCGGGAATCACAGACTAGAATTAGAATAATTTCAGCTTGAATTGAAATGCAAATAAAATGAGCTTTATAATGCTGATAATTATTTAATTGACTAATTTATAATGAATATTAAATATAATATTGAAAGAGTTTTTTAATATTCAATAAATATAAATAAATGAAATAAAGTTAGACTTTTTAAAATTATTGTGTTGCTATTATTTGACAAACTTTTATTTATCTAGTACTTAAAATTAAAATAGTCAATGGTTGAAAATATAAATATTTGTAAAAATATTTGTATAATCCTAAGTATTAAAATGATATATTAAAGTGTTAGTTCATTTCTTTTAAATGTTTTATAAATCTTTCAAAAATGTGTAATAAAAAACTCAAAGTACAAACTCCAGAATAGTTTATTTCTCTGTTCCAATCAATAATATTTTATATATATACATACATATGTATATAAAAAACTAGAATTCCTATTCACCATGATTATCCCAAAAATTAAACATAAGACCTTAATAATAACCAAATTCACATGATTAGTTAAATGTTCTTAAATAGTCATCATTACTATTTAGTTCTCAAAATCTAATTTCATTGCTATCTCGAGAATTTATTAGATTCACACTTATGAAACGGGTTTGGCAGTGCTATCGGGTCTATAAACAGACTCTCTTCTTCGATAAGAGATAAGGACGTAAAAGATAAACAAATCTGTGCTTATACTGCATATATTGGGGTAATAGGAACAGTCAGTAAATGGCCGACTATATTTGTATTTTTACAGAGCTATAGCAGCTACAGATTTCAAATGTAACATTTTCCTCTATTTTTTTCGATCGTTTGTATGGCTGCTATATGGTATAGAAGTCCGATTTTCATAAAATTTTACACAGAATTCTAGATTAATATATATTGGCTATGTATTAAATTTGAACTGTAACTGTAAAAGTTATAATATATTTTTCTTAAAAATTTTCGATCGTTCCTATGGCAGATATATATATATATATCTATATCTATATATATAGTCCACTGATTCGCCATGCTTCGACTTATATACTAGTAAAATTATATAAAAGAATAACTCCATAGTTTCATTCCAATAGCTTAAATTTGTTCCAAAACACTTCTCGCACATCTGTGCCTATGATTCCCAACTGGTTCTAACCTCCCCGGAAGGAAGTGACTGCTGCCGGCCAGGTCTTAGAAATGTGTTGTGTTACAAAAGTTGCAAGTCATTGTTTTATAGGGTTCAAAGTTAGTAACTGCTCATACATACATACTTACTGGTCATAGATACTTACTGATCATAGTTAATTTCTGGTCAATGTTAATTACTGATCATAGTTACTTACTGGTCATAGATACTTAATGTTCAGAGTTTCTTATGTTACTGATCATAGTTACTTAGTGCTCATAGTTAATTAGTGGTCATAGTTAATTACTGCCCATGGTTCTATAAATCGTCCGATTGTTCCTATGGTAGCTAAATATATGTATATATATATATGGTCCGCCGATTCGCCATGCTCCGATTTATAATCTTGTGAAATTATATAGAAGTATAACTGAATAGTGTCTTTCAAATAGCTTTAATTTGTTCCAAAACACATCTGACACATCAGGGCATATAATTCCCAACTTGTTCTAACATCCCCGGAACGAAGTGACTGCTGCCGGCCACGTCTTAGAAATGTGTTGTGTTACAAAAGTTGCAAGTCATTGTTTATTAGTGTTCAAAGTTAGTAAATGATCACACATACATACTTACTGGTCATAGGTAATTACTGGTCATAGTTACTTACTGTTCAATGTTAATTACTAATCATAGTTACTTACTGATCATAGTTACTTAATATTTATTGAGACTTATTGATCATAGTTAATTACTGGTGATAGATACTTATCGTTCAGAGTTATTTACTGATCATAGATTCTTACTGAGCATAGTTAATTAATGATCATACAGATCATAATTTTTAAAAATATATCAAATTTGTAATTTTTTAAGTTTAAAATTGAGTATGCATATTTATTAACCTAATAAAAAATTACATTTAAATTAATGCTCGTTTGGCTTAGTTTTGGTTATTTTAAAGTTTAGTTAGTCGAACACATTTTAATATAAAATATGTATATATATTGAATATTAAAACTTAGTTATGATCAATTTCCGATTGGATGTTATAATTTATTTGCTAAACTTGATCTGGAACTGGAAATAAATATCATTATAAATTTGTAAACTATTCCCTCGTAAGACATGGCGTATACTTAATTTAAGGGTTTCACGTTAAGTATACGCCATGTGTGCACTAGATTTCTCTTAAATAAATATAATATTAATGTAAAATAATATTTGTAAATCTAAAAATGAAAAAGATGATGAGTTTTGCCTAAGTTATTTTCCTATTTTGTTTTAATTTTAACAAGGGAGTTGGATAATTAATGGCAAATATGGTATAATCCACTAGTAACTTGATGTACATTATACTACATTCTTTAAGACAATTAGTTTTTAATTTAACAAATTTTAAAGACAATGTTAGAGCTTTTTAATCTAATTACTAAGCTTTTAATTAATGGTTTTTCTTCACCAAACTTTATGGTCACAATATTAGTTCTCAAGTGGCTGGTATTATCTTGATGGGCCAATCTTTTTCGACTGCGTCACGATGACGAAAAGTCAGGAGCTAGTTTAAGAGACCTTTGGACACTGAAACCTATACTCTATTCCCCTCTAGAAATTTACCTTATCTTTAACGTTTTTTTCGGTCTCATTTTCTTCCAGATGGGCCTCAATATCCCCATGCTGATAGCAAGCAGTCAGACGCTGGACAGCTGGAATACGGCGGGTCAGTATTCGCCGCCGATATCGGGTTCCGGTGGCGGCGGATCCGATCGCGGAGGAAGTGGACCCCCGCCCCAGCAGCTCCGAGTGCCCCTGCCCATGAGCTATCATGGTGTGGGTGGTGGTGGAGGAGGAGGAGGTGGCAGCAGTTCCAGCGATTTCCAGCAGAGTCCGCTGAAAACTATGGACACATCGGATAATGAGGATAATAATAACACAAAGGAGGATGTGGCAGCGGCAGCGGCCTTGGGCCAATTGGCGGCCAAAGTGGAGCGACGATCGCCGGCAAGCGGTGGTCCTGGCTCCGGACCTGGCGGCGGAGGCGGTGGCAGTATTGGAGGAGTCGGAGGAGGAGGCGGCGGCGGCGGCGGCGGCGGCGGCTCTAGCAGTCGAGAGGCGAATGATCCACCCAGCGATCCCTTGCGTTCCGAGAGGACTCTCAGCGAAGCTGGCAGCAGTCCCATACCCAACACCAATATGCATGAGGCGCACAAGAATCACCTGCTTAATAGTCCAGCCAGTGGCGGTGGAAGAGCTGTCACACCCAGGCAGGCCCATGAGCAGCTGCATCATCATCCACACCCGCACCAGCACCATCTGCAGCAACAGCAGCAACACCAGCAGCAGCAGCAACATGTCCCGCAGTTACATGGCCATGGCCATGATGATCTGGACATTAAGCAAGAGCTGGTGGATTACTTCCATGGTCAGGCTACTGGGGGTGTAGCTGCACCACCACCGCCACCGGAATCCCATCGCTCATACAGTTCGGCGGGTGAGGAGAGTCGCCTGCAACTGGTGGACATGGCCCAGGATCTGAGGGTGGCTCAGGCCAAGGCCAATTTTGGTGCCTTTGTGCTGCCACCGCAGAATAGTGATGCAAGTCAAACACCTGCCGTTGTTATGCCACTCAATATGCGAAAATTAACCAATTCCTCGAGTGCAGCAGCTGCAGCGGCAGCGGGTCATATGCTAATGAGCTCCCTGCTTGGCTCCCGGGAGAGTATGTCCGATGGCGAGGAACCCGATCCGGATAATGATGAGGCCACCGAATCAGCGGCCAGTCCGGGACACATCAAGAGCAGCGTTTCCGCCCAAGCGGCTGTGGCAGCCTCCGCTTTCTATGCCGAATCCCTGAATCGTGATGATTGTGACTTTATCGGTTCGAATGTGTCCCTCAAGCTGAGGACCATGGATCGCACGCAACGGATCATTGCCGAGAAGCTGATCAGTGAGGTGCTCTACTATGGACAGTTTAATGAGCTGGAACGTTCGGCCAGGATACAGCCCAAGTGACAGTGGCGCCTCAAGAAGTGGACGACGACAACGACAACGACTACAACGGGTGCGGGAATGGCAATGGGCATGGGCATGGAAATGGGAATGGGCACAGGACTCGGTTTGGGCTTTGGTATGGGTTTAAGCAAAATCCGTCTGGCCGCACAGCATGGCAAATGAAGGTGATGCAGGGAGATGCAATCCAATTCCATTTGAAAATAGTCAATACACAGAGAGAAAAATAGCGAAGAGAGAACAGAAACAGAAACCAATACAGAAAAAAAACACAGAGTACAACTTATATTTAGTTTTTTGGCCAGGAATCCACCGGGGTCACCATTTTGTACAAAGAAAGCTTGGCAAGAAAAAAAAGGGGCAGTGTTACTTAGTTGGAGAGATTAGAAGAAGGTTGGGGAAACGTTGGAGAAAGATTGGGGAAACGTTGGAGAAATGGTACTTACATATATGAGAGAGCTAGAGAAAAGAGAGTGAGGGGAGAGATTTTAACAGGTTTTTTTTTTTTAATATTTTAAAATATATGCAGAGATGATAAAGAATTAGTTTACGAACCTAAATCTATTTTAAAATACGTTATAAAATGGGCTTTATATTTTAGATTTTTACTTTTTCTAAATTGTGTGTGACTTTTTGACGCATTTTAAAATTGATTTAAAATCTTAAGTTATTTCTTGGGCACCTCTGCATATTTTATTGTAATAAATTAGCAAACAAAATAAATTTTTAATTAGATTTAAAATTAATATTCACAAGAATTAAATTCTCCCAAAAAAAAATGGAACTATAAGTACCAACAATTGTAACTTTTATCCTCCAAACATTAAATAGAAAATATTTACTTTAAATCTTTTAAATTTTTTTGAGGAAAGTTATTGTTATAAATTGATATTTTGTTACCAATTTAGCATGTCTCCCCTCTCTCTCTATATATAAAAAAAATACAACAAACAAACATAGAACACAAACCAAAGTTACTTTCTATTCTACATAAACAAACAGAGTTTCGTTTTTGTCCACAACTTCAATATTAAAGTACATTAAAATACATAGATTCATACATACATAGATACTAGATAGGGTTAGACTGGGTCTGGGTCCTGAGACATCTAACTAGCAGAATCTCAGTATTACTTATATACACACTACTACCGCAAAGAAAAATAATAGATCAAGAATAGAAAGAAAAGCATTTGCCATGTTTTAGATAGATTTCTAATAGAAGTTTCGAGATCGATCGTCCACTTCAAGGCGTAATCTGATGGCTGATTGTTCCAGCTCGATAGATATACATCTATATATATATATATAGACCTCGCTCCTATACAAAAAATATAAAATAAAGAGAAAGAAAAACTATTGTAAAGACAAGGAAAAAGCGGCTGCTAAAAAGTCAAGCTCCAAAATTTTGGGCATTACTGTAACTCGAAGTTCCCCCAAGAGAGAGAAATATGGGGAAAAGGCAATTGTGCAAAAAAACCTATATGTAAAAATGGATATAAATATATCATTGTACCTTATTTTGAAACAGAAATGTTTTCTTAGTCACTTAAGTCTGGTCGTCGAAAAAACAGTCCAACCAAATCCAAACCCAACAAACTGAAACCAACCAACCAACAAAACAAAGTAAAAACAAAGTAAATATTATACAAAATACTGATATTGTCGTCACTAGTTCGTTAATGAAACAAAAAACAAAAAAAAAAAACCAACTACAACAAAAGCTAAACATTGTATATTTTTTGTGTTTATATTTTTTTTAGGTCCTAATGATGATTTTTGCATAATATTTAAGTAGCTTTTATTTTTATATATATATGCAAAGCAAAGCAGAGCAAAAAAAAAAACAAAAATATTGGATTAATTTATATAAAATATATATATAAATATACATAAAATATATATGTATGTGTATACCTAATGGGCAAATTAGTTAGTCACATAAACAATAGAGAGAGAGGAGAGAGAGACAGCTCGGCTTTTTGCTGTTTGCTGCTGCGTTTTTTAGCCTTTAGTTTTTACCTTTTAGCCTAGAAAAAATACAAAACAAACAACAAAATGTCCAAAACCGAAACACAATAGTCAAAAGTGTAAAAAAAACAAATATAATTGCAAATTATGCGTGTGTGTATGTATAAATTAATTGTCTGTAAAATTAGCGAGAATTGTGGGTGATGTGACCGAGAGTGTGCGTATGAAACAAAGAAGTGTAAACCAAAATTCGTTTTTTATGAATGTTTAAACAGCAGCTAAAAACAAAAAAAAAACATAAATAAATGTGTGTACCTATTTGTCTGACAAGCATTGTAAATGGTGTTACTTGTTTTTTCTGGTCTAGAATTTAGTAAAGTTGGTATTTTTTAATTGATTTAAATTTTAAACAAATTTGTCAAAGTTTTCAAATATTTAAGGAAGCGCTCACCATTTTAGAAGCACTGCTTTCAACTGGGCACAGTTTGCAAAGTATTGCTTAAGGATTATAAAAGTTTAAGAGCTATTGAACCAGATTCAGTTTGGTTTAAGGCACAAGATCAGTACCGTTAGCTGTCTATCTGCTTGTGAAACTGTATTAACATTCATTACTGTTAAGTTGGTAAATCTAAAACTCCTGTAATTCCCCTCAAACTGTGTCATTTTGCACAAAACTGTAATTTTCCATATTTGACATGAATTTTACCCAAAAGCAGGCTGCTCTTCCGCTAGATGTCGCCTTTGCATGAATCCATGTAAAATTCAAATTCCTCTGAAAATTAAGAATAACTTTTCCCAAAATACAACAAAAACTTTCCTTGGTTTTTCTAATTTTACTTAATTTTTCCACTTTATATATAATTCTCTTCATTCTATAGTTACACAAGATAATAACTAAATCGTTTGCGTTATTGGTTTGTTTGATTTGTGTTTGTTATTAGCATTATTCTGGTTTTCTTTTCTTCTTTGTGTTTTTTTTTTTTAACTTAGAAACATAACTTAAGTGTCTGTCTTAAGGTGTATAAATAAAATTGGTTATACAATAAGGCTACGATTTGTTTTAATCATTAATTAATCAGTTACTCCTCTATATAATGTATACGCAAGCACACGACGCAAAAATTTCACATACATAAATTAATAGTTTTCATTTCACATAAGTTTCAAATTTATTAGGTTTGATTTAATGCCACCGAAATGATTTAAAAAGAAACATTTAAAATGTGAAAATGCACTGAAAATTTTCCAATTTGATTTTCATTCTTTCACAAAATTTGCCTAGTAATTTTCTTCTTTTGATTTTCTTTTTTTTTTTCGTTTGCCAACCAAGATGTATAAAATCAAAGCGAATCCTTTTGTTTTTGTATAAAAAGAACACAAAGCAAAAAGATTTGAAAATTTTGTGCGCAGCGTTGTTGGGTCGCGTTGGCTTCCGGATGAGGCAGATATATTGTGGGTCAAGGGATTTTGTATCCTCTGAACGAACGAACACACACAGGATCTGTCTTAGAACTCAAAGTTGAACGAATTATTGCGACCACCGCCGCCGGCGCCGCCATTAAATTGGAAGAATGAGCGGAACATTTGATTCGGATCGAAGTCAGCTGAAAGGATAAGAAATTATATACATTAATATAATATTTCTAATTTAAATTATAGGTTTAAGAGGATTTTTACGCTGTGTTCAAATGTCTACAGTTTTACAGCATATTTTCTGTATTTTTACATTACACTTGGTAGGTAAAAATACCTCAGTACTTTGCAAACTGTTTGTAAAAGGATTCTTCTCCCTCACCTTGCTCTTGCTCCTCGATATCCTGCCCACTGTCATAGCGCGACTTCTTCCTGGCATCAGACAGTATGGCATATGCCTCGCCCACCTCCTTGAACTTCAGCTCCTCCTCCTTACGCTCCTCGGCACTGCTATTCGCATGCCTATCGGGATGATGTACCAGTGCCTTCTTACGATACGCCTTCTTAATCTCATCATCGCTGGCATTACGTCCGATGCCAAGGATCTTATAGTAATCCTTTCGTTTCGATTTCTTCAGCGCAAACTTGGCATCGCGCAACAAGCGCTTAATCTCTGGCGTCTTCTCCAACTGCAATGCCGTCTCATAGTCGGCCACCGCCTCCTCGAACTTCTCCAGATCATTAAAGCAGCGGGCACGTAACAGCAGAGCCTTCAGATATTGACTATTTAGCTCCAATACACGATTGCAGTCAGTTACCGCTTCGCGCAAGTTACCAATGCGGGTATTGACCAGGGCACGATTATACAACAATTTCGAATTAATATCCTTGTTGTGCTCATCAATCTTCAAGGCGTCCGTGTAGATGACATGTGCCTCACGATAACGACCCGATTTGAAGAGCATATTGCCATTCTCCTTCATCTCCTTGAGCTGTTTGCACTTGCTGCGCATTTGCTTAGACTTGTGATGATCAGGATCGAGGGTTAAGGCGCGCTCAAAATGCAATATGCCCTTGTCCAGGTTGTCAGTATAATACAGGCACAATCCTCTCACATAAATGGCATCCGCTGAGGTGGTATCCAGCTTCATAACGCCCACGGCAATGTCTAAGGCCTCATCGCAGCGTCCCAGAAATGCAAGGCACTCGGCTTTCAAAAGGCGATATCTAAGAACAATTATAGAGATTAATATGGGAAATAACTCAAAACTAAGCAGAGAGACTCACCTCAAGCAGGCTGGTGCCATTTTCAAGGCACTATCCAGATAAAAGACCACATTGCGATATGCCTTTGAATCATAATTGGTCTGTATGGTGGCCTCCAGTTGTCGTAGCTTCTGTACCGCCGACTGTTCACCGCTCAGTGCTGTGCTCTGTGAATTGAGCTCCGCCACTGTTTTAACCGCCTGCTCCGTACCGATAATGTCACCGAGAGCCAGGCAACATTTGGCCACCCGTATGTAGGCCTTCTCGAAGCCAGGATCGATACGGATGGCATGGCGGGCGTCCGTTAAGGCGCTATTATAATTGAGCAGCATCATGTAGCAGGCAGCCCGATTGCCATAGTAGGCCGCCGAGTCAGGACATAACGATATGGCATCCGTATAGAGCTTGAGTGCATTTTGATAGTTTTGTGCCTTGTATTGGTCGTTGCCCAGCTTCTTTTTCTCTTCGGCGATGCTGTAAGACAGAAGAAAACAATTTTCTTGGTCAATCCTTGGGGCTTTAGGCTCGCTTGCATAAAGGACGGCGGGGGAGGAGGACCTCGGTCTACATAATTTGAATTTTTAATTTCATGTCGTCGTCGTGTCGTCAACTGAGTCGAAGTAACAGCCGCGGGCCTGGTCTCCTCATCCTCAACCATTCTTCGTCTTGGGTAGAAATATAAAGAACAAGTTGGAATAAAATGGCACAACGAAAAGCAACAGGAAGTAATCCGCTTGATGTTGGCCAGACGTCTTTTCAAAAGTGCACAGTGACCCAAAGCAAAGGCGGAAATAGTGATTTCTTAATTGACATTTTTTATATCAAAAGAAATTTAAAGGGTTTGAGGTTTTTTTAAATAAGAGAGATTGAAAAATTCATCATTTTATGATGTAGCTATTAAAAAATCTGTATCTGCTAAAGCTGCTTTGCTTGTACTTTGCAGGCAAAGTATGGAAGGGTGAACTAAGGTAGGGGAGTCTCGCAGGAATAACACAAATACCTCTTTATGATACCATATAAAACCTTATAATTATGAGATTACTTTAGTTATTTGCGTCTGCATATGGGCGTTATGCATCTTGATATTATACACACACTGTACACTGCCCCCCTCTAGTTTCCATTCCCTATATTTTCCATTCCCCATTTTCCTTCTTTTTTTCCCCCCCATTTCCCATTTCCCATTTGAGGAAGTGCAACAACCTGCAGCCCCAGCTCAAATGGGCCAAGAAATTATGGCATCACAATGGCCGCCAATAGGGCGACACTAATGCGGACGCCAAAGAATCTACCGAAAGCCAAAGAAATTCTCCCATTTTTTTTCTCCCCCAACTCCCGGCACACTTGGAGTTGTGCCAGACAGAGTGTTTACTGTACTTGTCGCCAGTATTAAAGGCAGGGGAACCTAAGTGCTCTATGCCCCAACTTCGTTGTTGTTATTCTCAATTTCACTCTTCTGGCTGTGCTTGTTATTTATTTGCTGGTGATTTCGATTCTCGGTTTCCTTTTGATTATTTACATATTTTGTTCCATTAAAAATACATTCAAGGTATTGCAAAAATATCAAGAGTTATTTGTAGCATTTCGCACTTTACGTTTTTTTGTACTTTGTGGAAACTTTTTGCTTGATTGCAGATTGTAAGACAAACAATATGGAAAATGGTTTCTTTTTTGAGGTATCGTTTTAGTAATTACAAATGTAATAAATATACATATTTACATGTATATTTCTTTAGTTGTTATAGGCAAATATTCAAGTTAATTAAATTTTATAGATTCCCTTTTAATACAATTTTTTATCTGGGCTATGGGCTTAGACTTTATTTTCAAAAGGGACATACTTTTTATTGGAAGAAGATTCAATCAGACTTATTAAATGGAATTTTTAACGTTAAAAACTCTTTATAATTCTTTAAGCATAAAGAACATAACAAATTACTCTAAATTCTAATAAAAAAAAGCTCACAAGTTGTTTAAAATTCCTTGAAATAAAATACCATAGACAAACAAAGGTTGTTAATTACTCCTAGAAAAAAAGAATAATTAACCATTGCCCACACTGTGATTTTTCTTTTTGTCTTGTCATTTGTTCCTACAGACAAATATAAGAGGCTGCAAATTGGAGGGTGGCATTTTTTTCGGTTTGTTTTTTTTGCAAGTGCTCAGCACAAAACTTTTAATTGCTGCCATAACTTGGCAAAGCGGTCGCGGCCTGAACCGCAAAAATGGGGGCAAAAATGGGGCTTTCGGATATCTTGGCAAGGAGAGAACAGCAGCAGTTTGCATAACAATTAGAGAAAACCCATAAAAGTCAAAAATTCGCTTGCGCTTGATTGGGCAACAATTTAGAAAGCCATTTGTTAAGGGGGAAAACCCCCTTTTACTAGAGTCCTGACTGCCCAAAAAAGTAGGCAACGCTTTGCATTTTCACAAAAGGCGTGGATAACTTCAACAAGGATTCGCGTGGGGCGAAAAAAATAAATAAAGAAAACTAAAAGGAGCTGATTTAAATTAAGTAGTGGGTGGGTGTATGTATGCACAACCAAAAAAACACATAAAAGCACCGGTTAGATAAATAAGGCTCAAAGGGGGACCGCCGCAGCACAACCACCTGAATGGCAGGAAAAACACAGGTAAAAATAAGGGAAAAAGAAATGGTAAACGGAAAACGAATAAAAAAGGAACAGAAGAATGAATGCAAAGCATGCAATGCAGATTTAAGCATATATTTAGCTTACATTTGAGCTCAAAATAATAGCTATGTTTAAATCAAAGGATATCCCCCAAAGGGTTGGGCTTTTGTTTGAATATTTATTATTATTTTGGGGGATGCCTTTGTTTTCCCTGGTTATCTTTTATAATTATTATTATTTAATATAAGGTCTCTTTCATAAAGCTGTATTTATAGATATTATATTTATTAGAACAGAATATTCGATTGTTATTTTTAAGGAAACATTTTCTGTTGAAATTCTCTGTTCAATATTAAATAAAAACTTTTTACTGATGTTTCCTTTTTAGGTAAATTAAAAATTGTTTTCATTATCGATGTAGTTGTTTGAATAAAAATATTGAGAACTCAATAAATATTATATTAGGAACTTTTTGAATAGGTTGAACCCTTAGAATTGTTTTTACTTGAACTTAAAAAATTCAGTTTAGAATCCCATAACTCTTTTTGTTTTTAAATATATTAATTTAGAGAGGAAATATAGTTTAGAAAATACATTTTTCGTGTTACTCTTTACATTATTTAATCCCTTGATTTAATGGGAGAAGAACATTAATGAAAACATTTGGAACTATTCTTTAATAACTTTTGATTTCACTTAAACTTCGAAGGTATATCATCTTTATATATCTACATATCTTCCATTAATATCCCCCATAAATCCCCTCTAGTTCCTATAATCTTGACCTCCATTGTCCGTACGTGTTTCACAGACAATGTATGGAGTGCCTTCAGGTCATAGTAAAGTTCAATGCGCGATAAGCGAAGTCAATGGTAGAAGAACATTCGAGGAATGTTATAGAGGAATGGGAATGGGAATGTGAATGGAAATCCAAATGCAAAGTCCCGGCATGGGTTGGAATAATCATTCCCTCATGAATATGCACAGCTCGTGGGGTAAACTTGGAGAGGAGGAGAGAGGAAAATCCAAGAGCGGACTTTGTGATGACAAAACTTTTTGCATAGACAACTTGGATGACGACGAAGACGATGCCTCGTGACATGTGCTGGAAAAATCATGCAAAGTAGATTGTCAGGGTGTCAAATCTATCAGTTAACTACAACTTGATAGTGGAGAAAAAAAGAATTGGTACAGTGGAAACATTTGAGAGAGAACAACATTCAACTGCTACTATTTCAGAAAGTTTGTGATTGTTTTTGATTACTTTTTCACAACACCTAACTATGATTTCTTCCTTGTGGTAAGGCTAAGAAGTTACTTTTTACTTTGACTTTTCATATTTATTTTAAGGTAAATAAATTGCCTGAATATCTCTGGAATTCGTGCTTTATAAAGACATTTTCTTTGATATGAACTTTTTTAATATTTATATAGTAAAACGAATAGTTTGTAACATTAAATTTGCGTTATAAAAAATATGAGAATTTTTTAGACAACTTTTTCATTTTAACATTAATGGTAGAAATTTACAAGTTTTAATGTCATTATCACATTTAAGTTTAGTAGTTAGTTTGTGAATTAATAAATAATTAAAGGAAAATCTTGTGTTTATTTTATTTTGTTTAATAGTTAATCCCGATAATCATTTAATTATACGCATTATGCTAAGATGCAAGACTAATTAAAAAAAAACTCTTTAAGAAAAATACCAACTTAACAATCTCCAAGGCTCATTCATCACACCTGACAAATAAACAAAAATTAATACCAATAAATAAGTTAAGCTTTCATTTTAAATTTTAGCCCCAACAAATTATCAAAAAACTTCACAAGAAAACCAACTTTAAAAACTGTCTTTCTCGCTTATAATTTCCGCACAAACTTTTCCGGCAGATATATATATATATATCTGCATATATATCAGGACATATCGCACTGTAATGGCATTTTGCATTCCATTAGCATCCTGTCACATCAAATTTGCTTTTGGCATCACAATAACAACAACAACAAGGACAACAAGGATAAAAAGGACTTCACTATCCGGCATTTCAACTTACCGCGGCAGAAATGTAAATTCCTCCGAACTCATATACAATTTATTGAGCATTGGATAGAGGAGCAGCGGAGGAAGAGTCAGACTTTTAATGTTATTACTTTTCGACATTAAGTATAAAAAAAAACCAGCAAGGATATTTAACAACCGCACATTAATTGGATTATTCCCTTTTGGCAGAGTGTCACGTATTTTATATTGTTATGATTCGAAAATAAAAACTATATAAACTACAAAAATAAGTGGCTATCAAAAAGGCGATTTTGGCGAACACTTCGTTGCTGGTGGTCTCCGTCAGCCATCGGAAGCGACTGATGCGGCGGCTGTTGATGCTGATGCTGCTGCTAATGTTGCTGCTGCTGTGTGCTGCTGCTGCTGCTGCTGCATGTTGCTACTGTGCAACTGCTGCTGGCGATGATTTTAATGCAATGGCACGTCGAGAAACGCTTGAAAATGGGAAAACAGCAAAGCAACGAAACCAGAAAATACGAGCCAGTAATGGCACTCGGAAAATTATGAATTTGTTTAAAAAAAAATTAATAAAAAAAATATAAAATATTAGGACTATTTTAAAGACCCTTTTCCTTCGTTTAGAAATACTTTTAATATTAAAATCAGGCTAATTTCTAGGGGTATTATTTAACAAAGATGAAAAATACCCCTATATATTAAAAACAAGTATACCAAAATTCGTAGCTTTGGAAAATTCTTGTTTTAGTTAGGAAATTAATTTACAAGACTTTATTTGAAGTTAAACTAATTTAAACGAATTAATTTAATATTGT